CATCTTGAAAACCTCTGAAGAGGTGTCAAGCTCTGTGGGTGTCTGTCCCACTGTTGTGCTGTCCTGCTGGTAAAAAAGTTGTTCCTAATCTCCAATCTGAACTTGTAAGCCAAAACTTGGGGCCATTGCTTTTTGTTTTACCATCTGTCATTATCACGGAGAGTTTGAGTGCATCATCTTTGAAACTATTCTTCAAGTAGTTGTGAGCTGCTTCTAGATCCTGTACTAGCCTCCTCTTTGCCAGATTAAGCAACCCTGTCTCCCTCAACCCTTTCCTTGCAGGTCATGTGCCCTAGGCCTCCAGCCTGAGCCCTTGTTCAGGTGTGAAACACGCATCACATTTCAAGCCAAGTACATATTGGCAACAATTTGTTTGATTTTACTTAATTATATTACTCAATTTTATCTGACTATGGGACACAAGCTATACTGAGAAGGATTGTCATTCTATTTCAAATTGGAAGGTATCTACCAATCTTGTATGGATAAGAAACAAGTAATTCAAAGCCCTTTGCAATCAACTCCATTTTATGTATGAGAACAGATTCTAACCAAACAAAAAGTTGCAATCTAAACAAACTGAATCTGGATTTCAATTGCGTGCCAAAGTCCAAGGTGATTAAACCTTGGGCTTTGATTCGACCCATCTCGCTGATGAGTAAAAATGTATCAATCAGCTAGTTACAACAAGTCCTTGGCCTGCATATGGAAGCAGAAGATGAGGAGGAGGAAAAACGGATATGCTGTATAGTAATTGGTGGGTGACAGCATGCTCTGTGTGCAGCCTAGGGAAACAGAGATCCGTTCAGTCCTGTCGCCGCCTCCCCCCCCCCCCCCCCACCTCCCACCCCTCCCTCACCTTGGTGCCAGCTGATGAATCATATCTTCTGTGAGTGTCCCTGTTGCAATAGCTTATTACAGTTATCTTCTGCATTTAGATGGTGCTTGCCAATTTCAGGTCTCATAGCACTGCATGCAGGTGGATGGGGCCAAATGCCTTGCTTGTGACCATGGCAAATCAGTTGGCATCAGGGCTGGAGGCCTTATCTCTACAACTCTCCTCCAGTTTTCTAACTCCTAGGGCAGAGAGTTGTCACCTTCCTTTATTAGGTGTGTTTAGCAATCAGTGGTAAACACTTACTAGATGGCTTTTCTGCATTCCAAATAGGTGGCAGATGGTTAATAACCACATTTATTCTTAGATTCAGATAAGAGGCAGAGAATAGCTCTTTTCTAGCTATTGATTAGTCAGCTGATCCCCATTTTCTAGACCAATAGAGGATTAGTGCTCTATGGTACACAGTGGCGCTCTACTTAGACCAGCACTAAAATATAGCAGTGAGAGCAATGGTTCCCAGCTAATAGTACCCATCTTGTCATTGGCATCTCAAGCCATCAGAAAGGCCCCTTTAGCCTCAGATCAGTCAGTCCTAGGAGTCTCATTGCCTAGAGCTCAGCAGCTTCCCAAGTCTCTGAGGAATCTGCTCAGCAGGGCTGCCTTTGGCATAGCTCTGGAACAGGAAAGCTTCAGGTCATCAGGGAGCAGCGAAGGCCAGCTGCACTCAAAGTGACTGAAAGCCCAGAGGGACAACACAGGCAGCAGGGCAGGGCCCTCTCCAGCCAGGGCCCAACCCCACAGTACCTAAGCAAGGCAAGCAGGGCAGACCTGGAGAAGGCGGCCAGGTTCACGCAGGAGTCCAGATCATCAGGCAAGTTCAAGATATTGAGACAGATTTAAGGTCAAGTCTGGGAGCCTATCCACTGGTCATGGTCCAGACCAGGTCTGGTGAGGGTAACGGGGAACAAACACAATCCAGTGATCACCAAGCAGGCCCATAGTGCTGAGACAGGTCTGAGGTCAAGGGTGTCAGGGTCTAGATCCTGTTAGGTCTGCAGTCAGTCACAGGTGTGGCTATGGTTAAGCAGGAGACCAGTACTCTTACAGCATATTTCAGGCTAGGGCTGAAAGCCCCCAGCCTGAACTTAAATGGGGTTCCTGGGCCTGTGGGCAGAGGGTGTGGGTGAATACCCCAGGTGAGGCTGGTAAGGGCTATTAAAGAAGGCTATTAGTTCACTTCAGGGGCCTGGCACAGGTTTTTCTAGCCTTTGAGGAGTGAGTGTGGATGTCAGAGCAGCTCTGCTGTTGTCTGTAACCCTACTAGAACACTCTCTGTGCCTCTATATGAGGACTTTCCTGGTATTGTAACCCCTGTATCAGATGCAGTGCTACAGAGAAGTCATGTCCTGTAGCAGCAGGAAGATGTTATTCAGAATTGCTGGTACAAGGACTCATGCTTGGGCTCTGCAAACTGAGGTTCAGCACACAACTTTGGTTGTTGTCAAGGTAGGGAGCTCACCCAGAGGCCTTTTCTGACATCTCTGTCCCAATCTTCTCATCAGGGTATTCTCAAACTCCCCTCAAAGCCACCCTCACCATATAAGATGGAAGAATCGGTATCAGAGAGTTGTCTCCATTTTCCTCAGTTTTACCACCTCTGCACTTACCAATTTCCATTTATTAATGAAATATTGGGCTAAACCAGCTGGGCTGGGCTAAACCAGTAACAAGGTGACTGCATGCTCTAAGGGAGAGACTAAAAGCAAATGCAGTGAACATAAAGCTTTCAAAGAATATTTCTCCTTTCTTCACATCTTTATACTCCTTTAAGTAAAATTACTGCACTGGAATAATTGTCTCCTATAGCTGCCAGATGGACTTCAGTCTACGTTACTTAACTCCTCAGTTTACAATTACTGTCCCTTACGAGTAGTTGAAGCACTCAATATCATTGTCGTTTGGAAGCAGCATCTGAGTCAGATAAAATGTGATACAGGCAGAATAAGGTAAATCTGACGTTACTCAACTTTTTTCCCCTGATACATAACCACAGTCTGCTCTGAGCTCTCTCACCTTTTACGTAATGGCTTTTAATATGGAAGGGTGTATATGTACCCTTCCAGAAAGCATCCTACCAGGTGTGTAGAAGGGGCAGCTGGCAGCGGTGGAGGAGAGATGCAGGAGAAGAGGTGACTTGGGTTGCAGATGAAGCAGCCCTCAGGGGTGACGGTGCATCCCCAGCCCCGCTCCAAGGGCAGGGGAGGGATGTGGTTCTGTGGAGTAGATGCTGTGCATGGGGACACAGTAAAGGCTGTGAAACTAGCAGTGGGGTGGAAAGGGACTGTGAAACTCACAGAGAATAAAGGTAAATACAAGCTACTGAGATCTATTGCCCCAGCTATCCTGATCAATGTATGTAGTTCAGTACACAAGCTTCAGTGACCAAACATCCTTTAGGATCTTATTTCTGCTAAGCACCTGCTAGGTTACCTTTTTATAGGACCTATCCTCAGTGTTTCTTTCAGGAAGCAGTTCTTTAAATTGTCAGAGCAAAGCACTGCAGCCTTCAGTGGAACCACTTACTGTAGGTGATTGTTTTTTTCTCTCCTGGCTGGCTGCTTTTTGTAGCTATTTTTTTCTTCTGACAGATAGTTTCTTTACCCAAGAGAGTGTATATGGGAGACTCAGGTCTGAATTTATTATGTTTAATCTGGGAAAGAAATGGGTAAATTTCAATTTTTTGTTTCTACTTTGAAAGTTGCCTTAAGAAGAATTGAAAAGATTTAAGTCAAAAGAAAACATTTCACACAGGTGAAATGGAATGCTGTTGACACAGAGTACTTTCTTTTCCTTTAACCAAGAAACACTGCAGAATTAGCGTTTAGGATTGAACTTGGCTGTTGTTTGTTTTGAATGTTTATATTTCGCCCATGAACATGATAATCAGTTATTGATATAGGTCTATGTCGTGCCCTTCCCCAGAGGAGAAAATCAAGCTTTCATGGTAAGTGGCTTAGCAGGATAAAGTGTCTCGAGGTTCCCATGAGATTAAAAAGTTCAGTTATCTTTATCCCTGTTACGGTTTCTGTACATACCTTTTGGCTTCCTGCTCAAACTGCAAAATGATGTGTCTAAACAGCATTATAGCAGCTTTTCTCCATAGAAATCCAAGCCTGACAAGAAAAGCCAAAAACATGGAGAGAGAGGGAGAGGGGTCTGATGACTGTTTTGGAGGAGTGATTTTTAGACTCGAGGACTAAGGTTAGGCAGGAAGTCAGAAGCATAATTTCCCTCAACCCTTGGTCTTGCTGGTTATCCATGCTGGGTCAGGTCAGGACACTGGCTAAGCTTGTCAGCCAAGGGAACACCAGTTAGTTACTCTTCGCCTTGCTGAAGTCTAGGAAGGAAATGCAGGTGATGTGCAGGCAAACTAACTGCAGGAGCCTGCGTGTTCAGAACAAAGACAGTAGTAGTTCAGTCCCACTGGGCTAGACTCAAGCCTCATTGACACATTTGCAGATCTGAGATAGCCACCAGGAACTCAGCAGATTTAGAGTCACTTCTACACAGCTGGTTCCACCTCTCAAGCTCCACAGTTTCTTAGCCTTTGCTGAAGCCCACACATTGAGAAGCAGTGTCTCTAAAGGGCCAGGAAACCTCTTGCACTGCTGGAGATACGACTTCATGGCCAGGATTCAGGATCCAAGACATGATAGATCTTCTTGAGAGGGAAGGAAGCTGCCAATCTCAGATGCTTTTGTCAGTGCAATTCAGCAATACAAACTGGCAGGGCGATACTGCAGGGCATGCACTTTGCCAAGGAAGCATTTGCCACCTTTTCTACCTTGTGGAAGGACCTGCTAGGGAAGAGATGGAGGTGGTGAGGAAGAGGGCTATGCTAAGAGCAGCCAGGGCAAGATGGGTCTCTGCTACCCAGTCATATTCGACTTTCATCCAAGTATCTTTTTTTTTTTTTTAAACTATTTAATCAACTATTTGTCCTTCCCACAACTCTTTGCTGAATACAGGCGTTGCCTCCTTCCCAGGGAAAGGCGAGGGAGAGCTTTACAAGGAGTGGTGGGTGTTAAGATGGACCCCTCCCGCCAGGCTGTCAGTGCCGGGAAGAGAGATTTTTCTCCCCTGCCGCGCTGCCTTGCCGAGAGCGGTGGGTCGCTGCTCCCCGACTCCAGCTCTTGCTGCCCTGCGGACCGGCGCCCTCGCTCTTGCTTTTGCTGTGCAGCCGCGTCAGCTGCGCCGGCTCCTCGGCGTGTGCTTGGAGCCCTTTTTCCCCTGGCTCCGGCTTGGAGAGGTCTAGCTCCTGAGCTGATTCTCGCCGAGTCAAAGCGTCTGCTGAGCGCGGCCGCAGGAAGATGCGGCGGGGGAGCGCGGGATGGGCGCTGCTCCCTGGAAGAGGCTTATTAATAACGCTGATGCACGGCCAATTAGCAGCGGGAGCCAGGTCCAGCCCTCGTGTCTGCGCGCTGGTGATTTATCGGCAGTAATTACCGAGGCATTCAGTGCTTAGTTTGGACGGGGAATTAAATCGGGGCCGGATAAATAATGCATTACTTTTTATTTAGCGCGGCGTGAAGCGTCGCCCCCGAGCCAGTGCTGGGAGGGGAGAGAAGTGGCGTTTGGGCGGAGAGCGGCCGGCGCGATGCGCGGGGCAGCGGCCGGCGCCGGGCGCTGAGGGCGGCG